TCAGAAAACAGTTGCAGTTTTATACACCAATAATGAACTATCAGAAAGAGTAATTAAGAAAATTTTATTTATAATTCCATCAGAAAGAATACAATACCTAGGAATAAATTAACTGATGTAAAAGACCTGTATTCAAAAAACAATACAACATTGAAGAAAGAAATTGAAGAAGATACAAATAAATGGAAGGATGTGCCATGTTCATGGATAGAAAAAAAATAACACACTTAAAATGGCCGTACTCTGCAAAGCAATCTACAGATTCAGTATAATTCCTATCAAAATACTAGTGGCATTCTTTGCAGAACTAGATCAAATAATCCTAAAATTTATATGGAACCACAAAAGACCCTGAATAGCCAAAGCAATCTTGACAAAATTGCAGATATCACACTACCCGAAATCAAATTATACTACAAGCCTATAGTAATCAAAACAGCATGGTATTGGCATAAAAAACACACACACATAGACCAATGGAACAGAAAAAGAGCCCAGAAATAAACCCACACCCATATGGTCAGTTGATCTATGACAAAGGAGGCAAGAATATAAAATGGGGTAAGGACAATAAATGGTGTTGAGAAAACTGGACAGATAAATGCAAAAGAATGAAAGTGGACCACTTTCTTACACAATATAAAAGAATAAACTCAAAATGGATTAAAGACTTAAATGTAAGACCTGAAACCATAAAATACTTCTAGAAGAAAACATAGACAGTAAATTCTAACTTTGCTCTTAGTAATCTGTTTTTATATGTCTCCTCAGGCGAGGGAAATGAGAGAAAACATAAATGGGACTGCATCAAACTAATGAGTTTTTTTTATAGTCAAGGAAACATCAATGAAACAAAAAGACAACCTACTGAATGGAAGAAGATATTCACCAATGCTACATCTAATAAGGGGTTAATATGCAAAATATATAAGGAACTCATACAGCTTAACACCAAAAAACTATCTCATTAAAAAATAGGCAGACAACCTGTATAGACATTTCTCCATAAAGAACATATGATAACAGATATGGCCAATAGACATATGAAAAGATGCTCAACCTCACTAATCATTAGGAAAACACAAAATAAAACTGCAATGAAGTATCATCTCACACCTGTCAGAATGGCTATCAGCCAAAATTCAGCAAACTAGTGTTGCCAAGAATGTGGAGCAAAGCGAGCCCTCGTGCACTGTTGGCGGGATTGCAAATTGGTGCAGCCACTATGGAAAACCGTAGGGAGTTCCCTCAAACAATTCAAAATAGAACTAGCATATGACCTATCAATTCTGGCTCTTTATCCAAAGAAATCCAGAACACCAATTCAGAAAGATATATGCAACCCCATAGTTATCACAGCATTATTTATGAGAGCCAAGGTGTGAAAGCAAGCTAAGTGTCTGTCCATCGATAGATGAATGGAGAGAGAAGATGTGGTACATATATATAGAATATATATACAATAGAATATTACCCATGAGAAAGAATGAAATCTTGCCATTTGTGACAATATGAACGGGCCTAGAGGATATTATGCTAAATGAGCTAAGTCAGATAGAGAAAGACAAGTGCCATATAATTCCACTTATAAATGGAGTCGAAAAACAAAACCAACAAACAGAACAGAAACAAACTCATAGACACAGAGAACAAATTGATGGTTGCCAAATGAGAGGGGAGTTGGGAGGATGGGTGAAAGGTGATGGGATTAAGAAGTGCAAATTTCCAGTTATAAAAACAGTTATGGAGATGTATTATGTCAGATGAGTACTAGATTTATTGGGGTGATCACTTCATAAATTATGTAAGTGTCTAATCACTATGTCATATATATGAAACTACTATAATATTGTATGCCCACTGTTAATTTAAATTTTTTAAAGATTTTTTAAATGAAATTTTAAAAAAATTTTGCAGACATCATTAATAACCAGTATGATTCTCCACCACAATGACCCACTGAATGTAGTAAATTAGTTACGTTGTTATCAGGTAGACATGGCCTAGAGTTTTGGAAAATTCCCTAAAGAAATAGGCAGTTCTAAGAATTATTGTGAGATATATACCTGATATAGTGATATAAATTAAAATTGATTTTTCTGTAGAAATAATGATACTATAAGGAGTTAAAGAACTGATGAAGAACAAAATGCTCAAATTTTCACAGAATGAACCACAAATATCTTCCTTAATGAATACTAAATATATTTATGCAAACTATAAATCAATTAAATAAACACCATGACCAATTTCAAAGTTGTTTTTTTAAAAGAAAGCTTACTGTACAGAAGTGTTTTCTTCCTTTTCCATAATGTCTGACATTTTTGCAAAAATTCAGTTCATTTTCTTCTGGCCTTACCTAATTAGCCTAATTTGCTATATAAATTAATGTATCTATAAATTAATCTATAAATTATTTATTATCTATAAAGTATGTTTGACTTTAAATGCATAAACTCAATCTATTTCTCCTAGCTTTTTCACGATTCTATCTCCACGCTATTTGAGTCACAATGTCGAAAACCTAAATGGTAAACTTAGTAGCAAAATTCAGAGACACTCTGCAGGGAGTTTTTATCTGGAATACAAATGCAAAAGTCAAATTCTGGTTCTGTTCTTTTCCTTGAAACTGATTATCATGATGCCTAGTTCATCCTTTTCCCCCATAGTAAAGGGTTGAAAACAATAAGTCATGAATGATTTTAAAACCAAAATGCTCACATTTAAATGAAAGTGGTCTTTTTAGAAATTACCTCAACGAGGTATGCATCCTAATTCAGGCAGTGCTATCCTTCATGGAGACATTTTCTGGGTCTCCTTTCTTGGAAATACCTTCAGAGGTCACCTACCCCTCCTGTAAGAACACTGACTTCATTCTTTTTTATGCACTGGAAACCCTTCCTTTGTTTGATACATCTTTCTCCATACCTCTCACTTCTCCCTGATTATCAGTGTAGCACCATCTTTCCTCTGTCTCACTTGGAGCTCGTGGTGGGTCACAGAGAGATGTGCCAGCAAACTGAGTGATGGACATGAAATCTGCTGCAACAGTAGGTCAGAGTTAACACGTCCATGCCATCTGGCTGAACTTGATACAGCCGTGTGGGAAATCTCATTTTCTAGAATTGAGACTGTCTCAACTGTTTGATGTTGGCGAGCTAAGATTCTGTCCTAGTGAAGAGAAGGAGAGAAATACCTAGCCAGTTCAGCATTAGCAGTCCCTTTACTTCCATGATTGTGGAAATTATGTGGGAAGAAGACTTACACAGCCGACAGCTACATGGATATATTAGGTCCGTATGTAACGCTTTGCACCCAGAAGGAGTACGCACACACTACAGGCACATTTTCAACTTGGATTTAAGACAGGAATATGCTTGATAAATAGTTTCAAGATATGTCCTCTTTATTTTGAGGAGAGGGTGTTCAGCCCATGAGACAGCTGTCTGTGACAGCTAATAATCATGAAAGCACTAATTTGTTTTCACGTCATGCTCTAGGCAATTCATAGATGAGGGAGACATAAATCCAAATCGCCCTTCCAAGGAATAGTAGGGAGGCTGCACTAAGGCATGTTACATGCACGCTGACTGACTGTTTCACCCATGAGTGACTTGACAAATGGTCCTGCTTGGTTCATTTTTTTAAAGGCCATAATAAAACTAGTGATCTGTCTTGAGCGAGACAGCACGTAGAACCCATGCACTCACAGAACTGTGTTCATGTCATTAGTTGCTTTGGTGGGCAGCAACTTGGGGTCATCACACCAGGTAATGTTAGCAGAGTTTGATTTATTCACTTAATCAGTAACTACTATTGACCTCCTGTTAGGTACAAAAAATAAATAAGATGAATTAATAACAGCCACTCACATTTATTAAGATCTTGCTATAAGCTAAGCACTATATCCCTTACTTTGTACATATCATTTTATTTAATCCCACAATTATGAAGTGGGGACTTTGGTCACTGAAAGAAGTTACATAATTTTTCAAGATTACATGTCTAGAAAGCAGCAGAGCTACAGTGTGACCCCAAAGCCCCAGAATTTAGTGTTATAATATATGTCCCCTGGTACAGAATGAAAGCCATGTCCCCAAGAGCCTTATAATCCCTGAGGGTCCAGGCAATAGTTTTATTCCTGGTCCATTTTCAAGAAAATCCAGTATTACTGGATTCCTGCATAGAACGAGACTGTCCTCGCTCCTATGATACAAAAATATTCAAGACCCCTGTTCTGCTTAAAAAACAAAAACAGAACACCTGTAGTCCAGAAGAGAAGACACACACGTCTACAGCCAACTCTAGCACAAACTCTAGCATGGCAATTGTGAAGTAAGTATAGTGGCAACATAGGGAGAAAGGAATGAGTTTTCTGACAGGGATGATTAGAACATCTTCCCAGAGGGAGTGGCATTTCAGTTGGCTATTGAAGGATGATCACAGCTGTCACTTTTAAAGAAATGAGTAGAGAATCCCAACAGAAAAGACAAGCTGAGCAGAGGCATGAAAGCATACAATACAAGCAGGGAATGTAGTCTAGCTTGGCCGTAGCATGGGATGTGAACTGGAGAGAAGGGACCATATTTACATCAGTTATATTCAGGGCATTACGAGACAGCATGCATATCTATTAATGAAGCAATGTGTTTATATGTGCATGTGTATCATCTCTCTGTGTATGTCATCAATGCAAAGCAGTGACTTACCTATAATTTATGCCGATTATTATGCACTGTTGTCTTTAACCTATTTCTCTGAATCATTGATTGGGGTAGTGATGTTCTGTATGATGATTCTGCACACAAAGGACCAGAACAAAAGAAATAGTTGTTCTGGATTCAACATACCCAGGGTTTTTCAGTGTATCCTAATAAGTGCTTATGACAATGCAGAGCCAGCTAAAGGTACAACTGTAGGAAATTCCAGGAAGTAGAGCCTTAGTGAATCAGATGCAGAGGTGATAGGAATTATAATTACAGAATTTGCTTTCCCTTTAGGTGCATGGTTGGCTATGTGAATGCCAGCTTGTCCGTGTTTCGAATTGCCGACTTTGAGAACAGATCTGAGCCTGAGTCTGACGGCAGTGAGTTCTCGGGGATGCCGCTCAAGTACTGCAGGTGAGGACGGCACTCTCAGCCTGAGACAGGCTGGCTCTGCCATAGGGAGGTTTGGATGGGACAGCTCTTTCTGACTCAGTTGGTTTAAACAGTGGTTCTCAACTTTAATATACATATATAAAATCCCCTGGAGAATTAAAAAATTTGACATTTATCCCAGCCAGTGTGGCTCAGTGGTTGAGCGTTGACCCATGCCCCAAGAGGTCACTCGCTGGTTTAATTCCTGGTCAGGGCACATGCCCAGGTTGTGGGCCAAATCCCCAGTGAGGGGCATGCAGGAGGTTGCAGTCGATGTTCTCTCTCTCTCTCTCTCTCCCTTCCTCTCTCTCTAAATAATAAAGGAAAAAATTTTTTTATCTGACATCCAGATCCAGGAAGCCCATAGAGTTCCAAATAAGAAGAACCCAAAGAGACCCACACCAAGATATTATAATTAAAATGTTAAAACTTAATGCAAGGAGAGAATAATAAGAGCAGAATGAGAAAATAATGTTACATACAAAAGAATAAGATGATCAACAAACTTTTCAGACCAGGAGTGACATGATACATTCAAAGTGCTTACAGAAAAACAAAAAACAAAAAAAAACCTCCAACCAAGACTACTCTACCCAGCAAAGTAGGAATAGAGTTTTCATACAAGAAACACTAACGGAGCTCAGCATCTCTAGACCAGACTTACAAGAAATGTTAAAGAGACTTCTTGAAGCTGAAACAATGGGTGCTAATTAGCAATAAGAAAACATAAAACTATAACTCTCACAGGTAAAGGTAAGGATATGGAAAAGATGGTAGAGCCTGGCCGGTATGGCTTAGTGCATTGAGCATCATCCCATGTACTGAGAGGTCCCGGTTCAATTCCTGGTCAGGGCACATGCTCAGGGTTGTGGGCTCAATCTCTAGTAAGGGGGTGTGCAGGAGACAGCCAATCAATGTCTCTCACATGAATGTTTCTATCTCTCTCTCTAAAAAAAAACATTAAAAAACATTTTTAAAAAATGGAAAAGGTGGTAGAGTAATCGCTTATAAAGCTAGTATGAAGACTAAAAGACAAAAGTTGTAAAAATACTTATAACTACAATAATTATTTAAGGGATACACAAAATTTTTAAAATGTAAATTGACATCAAAAACATAAAAGCTGGAGAGAGAGTAAAAACATTGTGCTTTAGAATTCAATCAAACTTAATTTGTTATCAACCTAAAATAGACTGTTACAAATACAAGTTGTTATATGTAATTATCATGATAACTACAAGCATATAGATGGGTCTCTTTTTTAAAATCCATTCAGATACTCTGACTTTTGAATGGAGAATTTAGTCCACTTAGGTGTTATTGATAAATGTGTATTATTGCCATTTTGTTCATTGTTTTCTGGCTGTTTTGTAGTTCCTCTGTCGTTTTCTTCTCTTGCTCTCTTCCTTTACAGTTTGATAACTCTCTTTATGGTATGCCCAGACTCCTTTCTCTTTCTCTTTTGTGTACCTTCTATAGGTTTTTGCTGTGGTTACCAAGCAAGCCTACTGCTAATGTCATTCTCAATGCTGAAAAACTGAAAGCTTTTCCTCCATGAACAGGAACAAGACAAGGAGGCCCACTCTTGCCACTTGTATTCAATATAGATTGGAAGTCTTAGCTAGAACAATTAGGCAAGCAAAAGAAATAAAAGGCATGCAAATCAGAAAGGAAGAAGCAAAACTGTCACTACTTGCAGATGACATATTATGTATAGAAAACTCTAAAGACTCTACAAAAAAAAATCTTAGAACTAATAAACTCAGTAAATTTCGGATACAAAAATCACTATATTAATTCCATAACTAATAATAAACTATCATAGAAATTAAGAAAGCAATTCCATTTGCAATTGCACCAAAAGAATAAAATACTTAGGAATAAATTTAACCACAGTAGTGAAAGACCTGTACACTGAAAACCGTAAGACACTGGTTAATAAAACTGAGGACACAGATAAATGGAAAGATATTCCATGCTTGTGTATTAGAAGAAATAATATGTTAAATGTCAATACTACCAAAAGAAATCTACAGATTCAATGTAATCCCTATAAAGTTCCAGTGGCATTTTTTTTTTTTTTTTTTTTTTTTTTTACAAATATAGAACAATCCTAAACTGTATGGAACCACAAAAGATCTCAAATAGCCAAACTATTCTTGATAAAGAAGAATAAAGCTGGAGGCGTCAGCTTTCTTATTTCAAACTATATCACAAAACTATAGTAATCAAAACAGTGTGTTATTAGCATAAAAACAGACATACAGATAATGGAACAGAAGAGAGGGCCCAGAAATAAATGTAATAAATTTATATATGTTCAACTTATGCATTACAAAGGAGCCAAGAATATACAAAGGGGAAAGGACAGTCTATTCAATAAATGGTGCTGGGAATCAGGGCAGCCACATGCAGAAAAATGAAACTGGACCAGTACACAAAAATTAATTAAAAATGAATTAAAGATTTAACTGTAAGACCTAAACTCATGAAACTTCTACAAGTAAATATAGTGGTAAGCTACTTGGCATTGTCTTGATAATGATTTCTTGAATCTGACACCAAAAGCAAAGACAACAAAAAGAAAAATAAACAAGTGGGACTGCATCAGACAAAAAAGCTTCTGCACAGCAAAGGAAGCCATCAACAACATGAAAAGGCTACCTATAAAATAGGAAAAACTATTTGGAAATCATGTCTAATAAGGGGTTAATATCCAAAGTATATAAAGGATTCATACAACTCAACAGCAAAAAAAATCCAAATTTTTAAATGGGCAGATGATCAAAATAGAAATTTTTCCATAGAAGACATGTAGACGGCCAACAGGTACATGAAAAGATACTCTACATCACTAAGCATAAGGGAATGCAAATCAAAATCACAATGAGATATCCCCTCACACCTGTTAGAATGGCTATTATAAAAAAGGATGAGGACTAACAAGTGTTGGTGAGGATGTGGAGCAAAGGGAATCTGTGCACTGTTGATGGAATGTAAATTGGTACAGCCACTATAGAAATAGTTTGGAGGTTCCTCCAAAAATTAAAATAGAACTACCATATTATCCCACAATTCTACTTTTGCATATTTATTTAGAGGAAAACAAAAACACTAACTCAAAAAGATATCTGCACCCCATGTTTACTGCAGCATTATTTATTATATCAAAGACATAGAAACAACCTAAGTGCCCACTGATGGATGAATGGATAAAGAAAATGTTTTACACACACACACACACACACACACACACACACACACACACTGGAATATTACTCAGCCATAAAATAGAAGGAAATCCTGGCATTTACAACTTGAGGGCATTATGCTAAGTGAAACAAGACAGAGAAAAACAAATATTATATGATCTCACTTGTATGTGGAATCTAACAACAAGCATACAAATTTTAAAAATCCAAACTCATAGGTTCAGAGAAAATATTGGTGGTTTCTGGAGTGGGGAAGGGAGATAAGCAAAATGTATGAAGATTTTCAAAATGTACAAACTTCCAGTTATAAAATAAATATGATCTGGGGATGTAATTCACATCATGATAACTATAATTAATAACACTGTATTGCACATTTGAAAGTTACTAAGGGAGTAAATCTTAAAAGTTCTCATCACGAGAAAAAATAATTCTTTTTTCTTATTTTATATTTTTATTTTTTACCTTTATTGTTGAAAGTATTACAGATACCCCCCATTTTCCCCCATTAACCACCTCCCTGCTCCCACCCCCTCCTGCTTTCCCCAAACTATTGTCTGTGTCCATTGGTTATGCATATAAGTTCTTTGTTTATCTCTTCTTAACCTCCCCCACCCCACTTCCCTCTAAGGTTTGTCAGTCTGTTCCCTACTTCTATGTCTCTGGATCTATTTTGATCAATAGCTCATTTTGTTCATAATATTCCATAAATAAGTGAGATCATGTGGTACTTGTCTTTATCTGACAGGCTTATTTCGCTTAGCATAATACTCTCCAGGTCCCTCCATGTCATCTCAAAGGGTAAGAGATCTTTAAAGGCAGAACCCAAAGTGGTAGCAGACATTGCAACCAACTTTTACCGAAAGGGTATTTGCTGAATTGAATACACTTGAGCTTTATTTTTCAAGACCTTACATGGCTAAGGAAGTAGAAAGAAAAGAGTTGACCAACCTTTGAGTATAAATCTAAGCATACACTACATAACACAATAACATTATTCCAACTAGGATCTATATTATAGTGCTAGAAATAAATTAACTACATGCAACAGCATGGGTGAATGTAGTAGCATGATACTGAAAAAGAATAAGACTCAGAAGACTGCATACAGTATTACATCCTTTCTAGAAAGTTCAAAAACAAACAAAACCACACAGTAAAATATTTAGACAAATAAATATACATATACATACACAAATATATGTTAATTGTAAAAATGAAATGGAAGAAAAGGGAATTGAGGGAACGAGAGGTCGATGTAAATTTCTGGTCATGTTTTAATTCTTGGGTCAAGGGGTTCATTTATGAGTTCATCCTGTTATTAAAATGTTAAATAAACATAAAAATTGGAGGGAAAAAAAGCATTAACAGACCAATTAGGTTAGCTATAAAAATTTAAGAATTATGCTTTGGCCATTGTGGCCTAGTGGTTAGAGTGTCATCCCACATACCAAAGGTCATGGATTTGATTCCTGGTCAAGGGCACATACTTGGGTTGCAGGTTTGATCTCGGCCCCAGTTGGGGCATATGCAGGAGGCAACCAATCAGTGTGTGTCTCTCACATCAATGTTTCTCTCTCTCTCTCTCTCTCTCTCTCTCTCTCTCTCTCTCTCTCTCTCTCTCTCTCTCCTTCCCTTCTTCCCTTCCACTCTCTGTAAAAATCAATGGAAAAAATATCCTTGGGTGAGGATTAAAAAACATAATAATAATAAAGAATTATGATTAAGCCAATTTTGTGCACCTACTTTAGGGCCCAAATAATACTATAC